AGGGTGGGAGGGAGGGAGGGAGGAGCTCCGTCATCTGCCAAGGGCGTCGCTCTCTGCGCATGAGCAAACAACGTGATCTGTGATTGGCGCAGTTTTCGAACGCATTTCCCCTTCGAACTCCTGATGCGCCGTTAGATTTCGGACGACGCCCAGTCTGCTCGCAGGTAGAAGTTTTGGGCGGTGTAAAAGATTTGTTTTGAGCTGTATTACTTTTCGATAAGCAGGTAATCTTATTTTTAATGTGGTTAAAAGAATTATTTAATTATTAAAGTGATATTCGTAAAGAGATTACAATATTTAGTGTGAAATAAAATAGAAAAATTATCTCAACGTGCTTCAAACAGAAGGTCGCCATGTTGTGGAATGACTGCTTCTCGACCGGTGAGATGAAAATAATGACGAATATCACAACTCATTTTAATGTTTTACATTTTTTATATTACTGCTGTAATCTGTTCCTTGTAAAATTTATATTACGTTTTTAATTACCAAATTCATGCTTTATTTTTTTGTCTCTGTTCCAGGTACGAACATCAGCTTGCTGCGGGGCTACTCTTTCTGTGCTGCTGTTCTGCTCAGCTGCTGTGTCATTGGGTGAGTCCCCTAATAACAACTTCATGCAACGCACGGTATAATCGCGAATATGTCCGAATCGATAATCATATGTTCTGAAAATCAGGTTTTTATCTCATTAATGGGACACGAGATTTGGAGGGAGCAGTTGAGAACTGATGGAGGATATGTGTGCGACATGTAGGGAACTGAACGGAACCGGTGTTGGTCAGGCGGGACAGGAATTAATTTTTTTCGCAATGCTCAACAAAATGAGATATTTTTTTCATTTTCTATTACGTTTTGAAGATTTATTTCATTTGCCTTCCTTCACTTCATAAAATATGTGGTCTAAGTACTGTAAAAATTCGAAATCGGTGTAAAATTATTAAGAAAAAATTAAAAATAATGTTCCATAATAAAATTGAAGAGACTGTACGATTTTCTTTGCAATTGTATCTGAGCACTTAGCAAAATTAGAATTACTACTCGCACTCTAGTTTGTCTGTAATGCTGTAATACAGTCGGCGGGTTTGCCGCTTGACGTTAGGATACAATTTTTTGTTTTAAAACACTGATTTACTAAGAGAATATCTTTGCTCCGATGCAGTCAGAATGACTTAACGTACTAAATTATATTTCATCGCGGTTTTGAATTCCCTTAGTTGAATTAACCAGACAGGAGAAAAAAAAGCATTCTATTGGTTGATGGCTGACAGAAGTATGTACTCATATTTCTTGCTCACTTTTGTCTTGGGAATAGGAAATAAACATGGAAAATGGATATAGTTATGACATTGATCTCATTGATTCCTTGTTTTTAAAAGTCTGAAATTATGAGATTTCTTGTGCATACCTGCCCAGAGAATAGGCAAAATTCACATTTTAGCTACTGCTTAATCGAATTCCAGAAACAAATTCGTGTTTCAATTTATTTATCTGCATTATACACACGGAAAAGAACAATACACTTTGCACACTTTTTCTTTATTCCCAAGTTTCGATTTTGGGTAATATTCTCTCTCTGCCCCAAACATTTGTCAAATAATATGCGAATAACTAATTAAACTTTTACTTAGTGATGTTGTCAATTTGTTGTAGATGTTTTCATATAGTAAATTATTGATTGCTATTTAAAGAGTAATATTAATGAGGGTAGAACAATTACAATGGGGAAAATGCTGAAAGGAGTAAAAGGCACCTTCTGAAATTTTCGAATGTATAATTATATTGTATTTCTTAACAACATTTTTAATTTTACGTATTTATACATGATCTTGTACAATAAAAAAGAAAACATTTTGAAATGTTATTAATTTAAATTAATGAACTATTCAATCCGTTCAATAGTTACTTCATTGCTAGAGAATTTACATATCTACAGAAAATATTAGTATTTTCCCAACAAGTGCATTTCCTAAAATGAATCTTATTTCTACCTGTGAATAGTTCACCATGTGATGTATTACATTCCTGAGTTCAAGCGCTCTTTCTGTCTTCTCTTGAATTGCCTATTCATGGTGTGATGTTCAGCTTGGCTTATTTTTGATAGTGTATTTTTTGTTCTTCTTGAGATAAAACTGAATGATTATAGGGTTGATTTTAATAGCTAAGCTTCAGACAGGACGACATGTACGCTCTCGAAGTGTGTGGGGATGCAGTGAACGAATATTCTAGTGAGTCTGTATTTGTGAGGCGGTGAGGGCCCAAAGGTAGTGCAACAAAAATTATGTGCAATCCTTAGTCCGCTTGTTCGGGCACTGCTCTGAAATTCCTCTGTTGCTGATGGAACAAGTTATAGGAAACCGTCATAGCAGCCAACCACTAGACTCGTCCAGACAAAAGCTGAATTCGACCCAGCTCTTTGGATAGGGTAAAATGGTGCTGACAATCGCACCCGTCGGGTCTCGAAGTGAAGGCCCTTCCGGTCAGCGACAAGGGTTATCGCCGAGCTATCTGAGACGGTCATGGACCTCATTCTCTTCATATCTCATAGATATTGGAAAGCAATGCCCTGCCCACGTCGAGTACCTAAGCTTGAAATCGAATGAACAAAAGTAGGCGTCGGGGCGTTTCATGTAGACAGTGATAATGCGAGATCTTTAATCCGCGTGGGTGTGATTCTCCGCTGCGAAAGAGGTCCCGGGGAGAGAAACAACTCTGCACTTCCGGCGCCGCGAGGGAAAGGGAGAAAAAAGAGAGCGCTTCCAGCCGCAGGCGCATAAAAAGCGGTGAATGCTCCAGGACGTTGGAAATTCCACTCGTAAGCAACGAGTTATGCGCCGAGCGCAGTGTCTCGCCTCCTGAGGCGGCGCAGTGCGAATTTCGCCCGGCCCCGCGCCACCGCCGCCAGCCCAACACACCGATTTCTTGGTCTAAAGGGAAACACGATTTTGCTAGAGCGGTGTTCAAAGCATTGACCTGATTCCTGAATCCTGTTTTCATTAAAACTTTTGATTTATTATGGGTAAAGGGAATAAATGTGTATTAAGTCAGAAAATCTTAAGGGTAAAATTATCTCATTTTCTTGCCGCTGTGAGCTAATAAAGTTCGATGGTTTTCTCCGGAATCGTACTTCTCCAAATTCATGTTTAACATTGCGGTTCTGCATAAAATAAATTTGAAAAAGTGAACAAAGTTTTGTACTCTTGTTTGCTGATTAAATTCTTACATGCATTTTTATTTTTTTTACAAGAAATTGTTTTTACAATGAAGATTAGTTTGAAAGTTAGGGCATCAGAAGTAACATACCAGACGCTCACAGGCGCCGAATTCAGGCATCTCGAGTGAGCCATCCCTACGCGCCGAGCCGAATAAACGCTTTAAATTTAACGCGTCTGTTTATGAAGAAAATAAGGCCTCGTCCCGGCTGCGCCCTCGGCTAAAGTTTAAATTGAGCCTGCAGGTGCGTAGTTGCTGCGGCGCCGCGCAGGCCGCGCCGGGTCGTGCGTAACTTATTTCCTCAACCCGCCCCTTCTTTCGCGTCGTTTCTCGTAACCTCCGCTGAACAGCCTCCGAAGGGGCGTGCGGGGCGCGAGGCCAAAACTTCGTGGGCGAAGGATCGAGGGTGGAGGCGGATAGGTAAAGGAATATTGAATGAGAGGGCGGCAAGCAGGGGCAGCAGCGAGGAGAGGTGGCGTGGAGCGGCAGACGATGTAGCGAAAAGGGAGAAATGGCTATATATTCAATACTGCCCATACTTTCGAGAAATCAGGTGGAAGTTAGAGCTGTGGTTTCCGCGGTTGAAGCGATGGCCCGCCATGTGGTGATACCCAGATGGGAAACACCTGCAAACAGTCGAGTAAGAGTGCGCGGGATCACGTGTTAGGAGAGTAATGACACCGTGACGACTCCTTTGTGCCTTGTTGCCCGCACCATGCAATGTAATTCTTACCAATCATTCAACCATCAATCATCTCATCAAGATCTCTCTACCCTTAGAGCAGCTGATCGCCGCCCTCCAGGCCTCCGCGGCTCTGGCGGTGGCGGGTAGGAGACGGCAGACGGGCGCAGGCGGAAACAGCAGCGCCGCGTTTCGGTGGCCGCAGTCGCGATAAGCCGCGCCCCTCCCACTGCGCTCCAGACAAAGATTCCGCCCGATTTATCCCTTCCGCGTAATCCCTTGCAGTACTGCGGTGCTCTTCCTCTCGCTGCCACCGGCCACTTCGGTCTCCTCCGAGCGGCTAATAAACATTCTTTTGCGGAGGAGTCGGGACGCCGCGCACGCCTTTGCGAATTTTTCGGTCCATTGATGGCTTTAACACGTCTTGGCCTTTCGCAGGTTCATTGTAGCGTGAAGAATTTCCTTTTCGTTTTAAGCCCTTTCTAGGCTATCGATGGTGCGTTAAAAATAATTTACTTTTTAAAAAGCGTGTATGCTTCAACTGTTGTTTTAATTAGTTAAAAACTAAGTTGAAACATTAATTTCTCTCAGTCTAATTTTTTAAGATGAAATTATCTCTATATTTATCTTTCAATAGGTTTATTCTTCTTGGCCATTATCTCGGTTTGTTCGATTTTCTAACTGTTCTTTGTTTTCTCAAGTTCCGCAATTTCATTTCTATTTATTATTTATGTCTTTATCTACTTTCATTTCCCGTATCTTATCGGCAATTTCAGCTTGAATACGTATTTTTCACGTATTCAATTTAATAAGTGCCAGAAACAAAAAGTTGGTAAGAGAAAACAGCTAAAATTACAATTTAGTTTATTAGAAAACAAACGTGCTTTTTGTGCTATCCTCTCTCCTCACACTATACACACACGAACATGTCCTAACTACACTCATGGCGGGAAGATGAGTCGACAACATAGATCTCTTCCCGACGTGAGTGCCTGCGTCCGCTGGCGGTGATGCCTTCGAACGGAGAAGTGAATTACAAGTAGCGTAGGTGTTGGATGACGTGTTCCAACGAGCAGGACGGCAACAGCCCGCCATTGTAAACCATTTACTGCACCTCGTGCATCATAGCCCAATTTTCGCGCGCACGGTATTTTTGATAGCACCAGTCAGCGCCTCCCTCCCAAATACTCCAAAACGAGTCTGGACGGCC